AGCTAACAGTCTGTCACTTTTTTGCTATTCTTAATCCAGAATTGCTTGCTTAAGAACATAAGAATGGTCTGACCCAGCATGACCAATGCTGCATCTAGCCCAGTATCCTGCCTTCCGATTATGGCCGGTGCCAAGGGTTCAGAGTGAATTAATAGAGCAGGGCAATTATCCAATGATGCATCCCCTGTTGTCAAGCTCCAGATTTTGGCAGACAGAGGTTTAGAAGCAGTCAGAACATGGGGTTGCATCCCTGACCCTAATGGCTAATTTCTTTTTTTTTAAACCCACTTATACTTTTGGCCTTTATAATATTTCCCCCCCTCCCCCCCCAAGGAGCTCTACAGGTTGACTGTGTGTTGTGTGAGGAAGCACCTTGATTTTTTTTTTAAACCTGCTGCCTATTAATTTCACCAGGTGACTTTTGGTTCTTGTGTTATGTGAAAAGGAGTAAATAACACTTGCTTTTTCCATAACATCCATCATTTCATAGACTTTTTTATCATATCCTCCCTTAGTCATCTCTTTTCTAAGCTGAACAGTCCCATTTTCTTTAATCCTTCCTCTTATAGGAGTTGTCCTATATCCTAATCATTTTTGTTGCCCTTCTCTACCTTTTCCAATTCTAATATCTTTTTTAGAGATCGGGTGACAAGAATGGATTTATATAATGGCATTATATTTTCTGTCTTAGTCCTTATCCCTTTCCTAATGGTTCCTAACATTCTGTTAGCGTTATTGACTGCTGCTGCGCATTGAGCAAATGTTTTCAGAGAACTATCTACAATGACTGAGATCTTTCCTCTGTGGTAAGGGCTAACTTAGACCCCATCCATTTTATATGTATAGTTGAGGTGGCTTTCCAATATGCATAACTTTGTATTGTCTTAATGATTTGTCACTTATTTAAAACATGCCTCTAGAGTTCCCTCTCCTTCTAGAAACAGCCTGACTAGAGATGCACAGCCTCAGTCTACCTGCTGTGGCAACTTCATCTATGGAGAACTCAAATGTTTTTAAGTCTCTTACCATTCAGAATACCTTCATTTTTTTTTCTAATTCTCTTAATTCTCTTAATATCTGGTTAAATTGTTGCAAGAACTAACTGAATTCCTGCCTGCATCATGTTGTTCCATAACGGCATCACCTCTGTTTTAGGGTATGTCCCTGAACTTGGAACCTGACAATGTTGGTGTTGTCGTGTTTGGTAACGACAGACTGATTAAGGAAGGGGACATTGTGAAGAGGACTGGTGCCATTGTGGATGTTCCAGTTGGTGATGAGCTCTTGGGCCGTGTTGTAGATGCGCTGGGTAATGCCATTGATGGAAAGGTAAATGTGGCAAACAAATATTTGCTGTATCTTAAATTATATAGTGACACATGCTTTGTGCAGAGCTACAAAACCTTTCTTTGCTTTCAAGGGTCCACTTGGTTCTAAGATACGTAGGAGAGTTGGTCTAAAGGCTCCTGGGATCATTCCCAGAATCTCTGTGCGTGAGCCTATGCAAACTGGCATCAAGGCTGTGGATAGTTTAGTACCCATTGGCCGTGGCCAACGTGAATTGATCATTGGTGACAGACAGACTGGGTAAGCAATCCGTGTCTTCTGAAGCGTACTGTTTAGTATCTAAGCTGCTAAGGAGCTGTTTCTTTATGGAAGAAAAGGTTGAATATACAAAGTTAATCTGTACATGTGGAGGGAAGAAAACAAAGTAACTTGGACAAATTAGCCCATCTGAGTTCTCACTTTCTACTACTTTGCAGCAAAACTTCAATTGCTATTGACACAATCATCAACCAAAAACGATTTAATGATGGAACTGATGAGAAAAAGAAACTATACTGTATATATGTCGCAATTGGTCAGAAGAGATCTACTGTTGCTCAGCTGGTGAAGAGGCTTACTGATGCAGGTATAAAGAGTTGGAGAAAACACTGGAATTCTCTAAAGTGACTTTCCAATTAAGCTTTTACACTAATACTATTCCTTCTGTACATTTTAATAATGGGTTAACTGGTTCAACTTGATTAACTGGTGCAAATGTGTTAAATGTCATGGGAGTGCACAAATCTCCCTAAGAGCAAACTGTCTGCCGAATCTCTGATGCACAAGAAAAGAACCAGCTTGATTTCAGATCCCAAATTGTGTTTTGCGTGTTCTTTGGAAGTTGCTGAGGCAAGCATGGAACCTGACAGTGCTCCTGTCTGGGTAGCTTTTCAGAGTAGAACTACACTATTGATTTTAATTTCTAGCCAGCCCTTCTGTTTGGCAGTAGGCTAGTAACTATACCTGAAAAATGCTGTGCATTGTACACACTTCATAAAGTAGATACATTTCCTGTGTCTACACTTCATGTGCAGATGAGTTTGCACAAAATAAATGGGGCATTTTAAGAGTAATGATAGCAGGTGAGGCTGAAGGAAAGACCATAATTGTAGTCTCATGGTTAGTAACTACAAATGTTCCAGGTCAAAAAGAATGTTTTCCTTTGCTTACCTCTATTTTGAATTCAATAGTCTTTCCTGCTATTGGAAAATACCCAACACTGACCATGGAGCTGTATTGCTTTGCTTCATGGGCAAGTGGTGTCAACTTCTGGCAGGGGGAAAAAGGTTGAACTCTGCTGTGATACGTTCTCATGCTAATGTGCTGTAGTCCCATGGAGCAAAGGGCAGTGATATAACTTTGCAGAAGCTGAGAAATTGTTCCCTTGGAGTCACCTGAAGAAGGAGCCCTTAAGCTTATGTATATTTAAGCAGATAATGTAATACTATAGCAGCCGCTTCATTTCCATTTAAACTGTAAATGTATCTCCTTAGAGGGAGACCAAAACAGTGACTGAATTAGTGACAGACTTCATAGCTATTCTAACGGGTTTGTGTGGGATTTTATTTTCCTCTGTCCAGGGAAAAGTAAGTTTTTTTACGAGATGTAGGCCAAAGATTGTTTTGCTTGCTGATCTGTGCATCTTAATTTAAGATTGGTAATTGTACTAAAGACTACAGTACATGTGAACATTTATCAGATGCAGTCCTTAAAGAAACCTATCCTGATACAAATTTTTCTGCAGCAAATTCCCTAAGTGGGGAGTCAGTAACTGAATTGTCCTCCTTGTATTTGCCAAACAATTACTGTTCTAGTAATATGACCTCAGATGTCAATTTTTATATCCAACTGGGGTATGTAATCCAAGAGGAAGACTCTAAAGGGGTTTTTAAACAAAATAACATTTATCAATAACTGTCTCAAACTCTTTTCAGATGCCATGAAGTACACTATTGTGGTTTCTGCAACAGCGTCGGATGCTGCTCCTCTTCAGTATCTGGCTCCTTATTCTGGTTGCTCCATGGGAGAGTATTTCCGAGACAATGGGAAACATGCTCTGATCATTTATGACGACTTATCCAAACAGGTAAAACGAAATATTCACTATTTCAAGAAACTGTGACATAGCCTTGAACTTAACACTGGAATTTAAACAGACGTACGATTTAGACTTGTCATTAAAAATTAGTTTCTAAAGCCTTTTTCTTTATTTTTATACAGGCTGTTGCCTACCGTCAGATGTCTCTGCTGCTGAGACGTCCACCTGGTCGTGAGGCCTACCCTGGGGATGTGTTCTACCTACACTCTCGTCTCTTGGAGAGAGCAGCCAAAATGAATGACTCCTTTGGAGGTGGCTCCCTGACTGCCCTTCCTGTCATTGAGACTCAGGCCGGTGATGTGTCAGCCTACATTCCAACTAATGTAATCTCCATCACTGATGGACAGGTAGGATTTAAGGATCTATTCCTTGTGTGCTGGTGTAACTGGGTGATCTAATAAGTAATCAACGCTCACTATTAAAGTGCATAAAGTCTGTTAGTATCTCAGTAGAAACTCCAGAAATCTGTCTTCACAGATCTTTTTGGAAACTGAACTGTTCTACAAAGGCATCCGTCCAGCCATCAATGTTGGGCTGTCTGTTTCCCGCGTGGGTTCTGCTGCCCAGACCAGAGCCATGAAGCAGGTGAGCATAAAAGAACTTAAATGTTACTAGAACACTTACTACTTAAAAACAAGGACCTTTAGGTCCTGTCCTATACTCCTTTTCACTTCCTTTTGCTAACATTTAAGATCATAGCTTGAAAAGTAACTGCACATTAAAACTGACTTCACTATTTATTTACATAAAGCCAGTTGTAAATAACTGTAAACGCTCAAAGAATAAACCTCAAGAAACGGACCTCAGCATTCTGATTTTGTAAATATTGGTGGAGTTATAGAAATCCCCCTCTCAATTTAGACATGATGAAATCCAATCGAAGTATCCAGACCTGAAGGTATTATCTCTGATCAGACTTGTGGTAATCTGTTTAATTGAAATATGAAGGTGGTTAATGTTAACTTTAGCTTTAATGTAAATTGCACAGTTATTCTCCACTGAAGAGTTTACTTCAGGATGCAACACAGCTCCACTACCTGAACTTCTGCTTACCTTCTCTCTCCCTCTCCCTCTCTCCTTCTTGATAGCCTGATTTCTTTTCTTCTCATCCTTACACCATTATGGTGCTCTTTATGCTTAAAAGTGAATTTAATACCCATCATATGGACCTGAAATGAGCTCGTGTTGCTCTGATAGCTTTCTAAGGAAAATAAGTTAGAGGATTTTAGCTGCTTGCAAAATGTGGCATATAACCAAACACAATAATTTTTCTTGTATTTTAGGTGGCCGGTACCATGAAGCTGGAATTGGCTCAGTATCGTGAAGTAGCTGCTTTTGCTCAATTTGGATCTGATCTGGATGCTGCTACTCAACAGCTGCTGAATCGTGGTGTGCGTCTGACTGAGCTTCTCAAACAAGGACAGTATTGTGAGTTCCCCGTCTTTATACAACACTTAACTAGCTGGGGAAGAAACAAGTCTGGGTCTATAGCAAGGTCGGACCGGCTGCAGCCAATGTGAAACGCTTCAGTCCTTTCGGGTGACTTCTGGTTCTGATATGGTGTTGCTAGGCCACTAGAACTTTCTGACTACTAATTATCAGGTCAGCTTCTGTGAGTAGAGCTACAGTAACTTGTTCACAACTACTCAGGTTTGTTATGTGCAGAATACACAGAATGCAGTCTTCTGCACATTTGTGAGAAGAGGATTCAAAAATAATGGAGTCCTTGCAAAGCTCACTGTATAACACTGAGCTATGTTCTGAGGCGAGAAATACAGATTGGCTAACACTACACTTTTCTGTGCAGCCCCCATGGCTATTGAGGAACAGGTTGCAGTCATCTATGCTGGTGTAAGAGGTTACTTGGACAAACTGGAGCCCAGCAAAATCACCAAATTTGAGAGTGCTTTCCTAGCCCACATTCTGAGCCAGCAACAGACCCTTCTAGCCACAATCAGGTATGTGTGTCTTCAGTGTTCCCACTTTTATTTTAAAGGTGATGTATGCGTAAATACTCCAAACATAAAGACTAAGATTCTTATTGGTACATAACAGGGAAGTCTTGAGCATTGAAATTGGATTTTTAATTGTGTAAGTAGTCACCGTTAAACGTATTAATCCCTTCCTTCTCTATTTGAAGGATAGCAATGGAGGGCATATGGCCTGGTCTTTAAAGCATATCTGAAGCATATTGGATTATCTTGAAGTAAAGGTCACTGGCAACAAACAGAACCTCATTTAACCTAGATACTGAATTTGTGCCAGAAGTGTACTTTCATTCTCACCACAACTGAAGTGTTACTGATGTTTCCACAAAATATTACCTTCAGCAGTATACCTTAACCTTGCATTCCTGTTCACTCATTTGCTAGCCTGCCACAGACCTCCCACTTAATAGTTAGCAAGATTCTAGATAGCTGTTTTTTGTTTTGTGTCAAGAGGGAGGGGTTAGGGAATGATCTATTATTGGATCTGAAGTGTAATTCATGCCTGTCTTTTTCTAACAGGACTGATGGGAAGATCTCTGAACAAACAGATGCCAAGCTGAAAGAAGTAGTCACAAACTTCCTGGCTACTTTTGAAGCATAAACACTTAACTGTTCTAACATGCCACACTATTGGTCACTGAATTCTAGGGCTCTAACTCCATTCTTCAGAAGTTTAAAGTATGTGTGACTTGACTGTACAGATCTCATTGAGAATAAAAGGTTCCATGTAAAAAAGTTCTAGACACTCAGTATAAACTGACACCTTTCTATCCAGGTATTCTAGGTGTGTATACAGAAACTACTAAAGCAACACCAATTTAAAAATATAACTCATAAAACTCCCTGAAACTTTCCCCACTCATTGAAGTGCTGTTTATAATCCTGAAAAGAATGTGGAAAATATCATAAGGCTAAAAATTGTCAATATTTAGATCAAATTTTGCTTAATGTAAAAGTATTTTTCCAGGGATGGCAACAAGAATCTAAAGTCTTAAAAGCTAAACTGGGTCCTTCCTGGCTCACTTATCAATAGAAATAGATTCTGTAGCTGAAATGAGCTCAGATCCATGATGGGCTGGTGGCAGGTGCCCAGATCATAATGACCAGTACTGGAAACCACTTAAATCACACTTTGTCCTATAGCTGTACTGGCTCTGCCGCATAAAGTATCGGCTCGATGCATGTATTTGGAACCTGGTGAAGCATGCATTGAGTTAGGACTGTCTAGGAATCTTGAATATGAAGCTGTCGGTCTCCTGATCATCATCCCACTTTACAATCCTCCCTTCTCCCACCCAGTAACCAAAAGCCTGTATAAATGGAGTTTGTAGCAAGTCATGAACTTGAATTGAGGCTGAGAATTTTATCAGCATCCCTATCTAACACTTTTTGGGACACTTCCTAGAACAAAGGGTTTCTGAATATAGAATATCAGGGTTGGAAGGGACCTCAGGAGGTCATCTAGTCCAACCCCCTGCTCAAAGCAGGACCAACCCCAAAATATGTTCAATTCGCTAATGCAGAAAACTCAAGAGGGTAAAGGACCATTCTAAAACTCATGCATATGAAAGGCCCAGGAACTACTTATCCCCACTAAACACTGAAACACTAATTTCAGTTTGGGGGGGCAGGGTGTTTAGTAATTTTAACTGTCTCTTACACAAGGGAACTGCGTTTACTGTAAACTTGCGATTTCATAGTTGCTTTCAGCTGTGGCACTAACGGTTTCTACTGCTTGAGGTACAATACACACAGCATGTGCCAGTAGCTGGTTGCAGCTTCAAATCTGTATCATGTAATCTCTTCCACTTTTGTAAGAGTTGCTGTTTGAATCATGTCAAAACTAACAGCAAGCAGAGGAAGCAACCAGTAATAAGACTGAGATGATCTTAAGGGTGCTGTACCTGTCTTGTTGCACTATATCCACGCGGGAGTTCTGTGGGTAATGAAGAAACATGTCCTCCCACAGATTCTCTTGCCTTTCCAGCAGAAAAATGCTTCCCGTGGGGAAGCAAAGAGAAGCTGCCCTAATGCTTACTCACCCCTCCCTGGCAGCATGGGTAAGTCATGTTGGGGGGGCGGGAATGCCTAGGCTGCCGAGCAGCTGGGTCTGGGTCAGATCAACCCCCAGAAACTCCCCTAGCTCCAGGAAGCTCTGCACTATGGGTTGGGGTCCAAGGCTCAGCAGAGGGGTTGGGGGTGGGGGAGGGGAGGAGTCCAGGTGCACAGGGGTTGGACAGATGGGGGCAGCAGCTCAGTGGACAGCAACCCCTCCCCCCACTTGTCCCATTACTCCTCAGTCAGAAGGGGAGCGGTCACTATATGGGGAGCTGTTCTCTTCTTCCCCCCCCCCCCATATCTGCCCAACCCCTGTGCACCTGGGCCCTACCCAGCTGTGCTCTGACTCCCAGCTGCATGCCGCCCCACCCCCCACTGACCCTCTACCCACCCTTACCTGGACTCTGCTGCAGAGTCCCATTCCCCCTGCCTCCAGAACCCCTTCACCCCAACAAGCTCCTGTGCATCCAAATCTCCCCTGTTCCCAGACCCCCCACTGACCTGCTTGTACCCATATTATGCCACACAGTATCCTGGTACTCCTGGGGGAATTCTGCACCAAAAAAACTAAACTCTGTATACAATATTTTAAAACTCTGCTTATTTTTATTTTTCAGAACACCACGCTATAAATTGCACCATTTTCAACTATTTTGAAATTACAAAAGTATTTGGAAATGGTGTGATTTATAGGGTGGTCTGACAAAATTTGCAGAAGTTTAAAATATTGTACGCGTAAGTCCCGGAGGAGTAAACAACCGTCAACACTTTTCTCCAGGCAGTGGTTCTGGATCACTGAGCAGCCTCGAGCTTTAATTTACAGTAGTATTTTAAGTGCCTCAATCGGCAGATAAATTACACTAAGCACCTACAGAAGCAGGTGAGTACACAAGCTGACTACTGTAAATTCCACTAGAGGTCTGTATACTGAAGTGCTTAAATACGTTATGTAAAGTTGCTACCTAACAGCAGTCCAACTCTTACTAATATGTGATTGTGGAGCAAATTGCAGTAGAAGCAGAGTTCCCTCTAACTTTCATCCATGGGCAGAATGAATTATGGCCATAGCAAGGTCATGTGGCTGTGCACCACCAGTAGAAACAAACCTAGATACATATTTAAAAAGTTACTGTAGGGATAATTACTCCAGCTAGGACAGGTTAGGCATTTTAGAACTCACTACTCAGAATTAAATTTAAGCAAAAGAGATATAAAACTTATGAAAGGCATAGACCAGTCAAAAAACTAAATGTACTTTGAAAAGTGTCAAGTAACACCAACAATAATACAAGCTTGTGGTGGCAGGTGACTGTGAAAGACAATGTGTAGCTGAGAGAGATTGTGTGAGAGATTGACATATGCTGCGCGTTTAAGTAGTTTTGCACTCAGCAGTCTGAAGCCTGCTTGTTTAGCCACAGCAACAGATGTCAGCAAGCTCCCTCTCTCCTGAGTCCTGTCATATCCCATCCCCCTCTCCTGATCTGTAGAGATGGGGTAGAGCGGTGAAGGGAGGGGGACACTGACATCAATGCCCCCTTTCTCCACTTTCCCCCCCCCCCCCCCACCGGCAAGCAGGAGGCTCCCGGGAGCAGCTGGCCAGGGGCTCTAAGGCAGAGGGCAGGAGCAGCATAGCAGTGCAGGGAGGGACACCTGCAGTGCAAGGCACTTGGTAGCCTGCTAGGTGGGCTCCTGGCCACGCAGGTTAGTGGGAACTTAGGAAGCAATACTCTATTAAAATTGTTACATAAAATTACCACCTGTTTAAAATAGGATGGCTATAACGCACAATGCTCTCAAAGCAGCGTATCAATATGTAACTTTCAGGTATACTGTGCTTTCCTTGCATGTTATAAAAATGTAAGGGTCAACTACCAGTAACATCTTAGTCCATATTCTTCAAACTCTGGGTGAAAATATAACTGACCTAAAACTCTCCAAAGCAAGTATTTATTAACCATCAGGAATTTAATTTGTGCTGCTGAAATAAATCATCCTACAAAAGAACCCTATTACACTTCAGACAAAACTACAGCCTTTAGCATCTTCATAAATAATTTTTTTAAAAAAAGCTCTTAAGTTCCTCATAGTTTGGTGAGTCCAATATTCTCAAGAATTTGCACCATAATATTCAACTGCTTCATCCTTTTGCACCACTGCTAATTCATTGTCAAAGTTCTGTGTGGAGCAATACTCCACTATCTCAGCATGCTGGGATTCATGGCTGAAAGCTCTTAGAAGTGGAAAGATGTGACTATTTATCTTGGTGAAGTAGTAACACAAACTACTAGGATTCTGTAGTCTGTTTTCGCTGTCAACTATCTTGTATGTTAGCATAATAGTAAATGTTTTGTCTACTGCAGGAAAATGCATTGGGACTGAATGTTCCCTAGGTTCTCACTGCACAGCAAGTGTCAATACCTGCCAGATGTAGCACTTGTCTTCAAAGTGCTTCACAAACATTAATCAATACAATATTCCTGAAAGACAAGTAGGTAATATCCCCTTTTATATAGTGTCTGAGGCTCATCTTAATTGAACAGATTTGCCCCAGTGCTAGGGTTAGGGTGTTCCTAGCTCCCAGATCTGTTCTCAGACTGCCAGACTTTATCCAGTTTCCACATTCTACAGAGACTAGTTGCAGAGCAAGTTGTTAGGGGGCTTATTTCTTCACCCTCTCACTTGGTCTTTCTCGCATGAACAGAGAGCAACAATACCTGAAATCCGAAGGTGCAAACAATTCAATGTTTATTGGGGAGAACTTCCAGCAAGGATGATTGCAGTTTCCTTCTTCAGTGTACCCCATCCCAGCTCTGACACCAAGAGCCTTGGCTGTGTCCCTGTCATGGTTGCCTGTTGATCTTTTACTCTAAAAATTTCAGTGGAATAGAGCAGACCTCTGTTATGCTTTGTCCCAAACAAAATAAAACTTAATAAAAAACAAACCCAGAAACATTTTACGTAAGTATTTAAAGTACCCTTTATTAAAACTTTAGAAAAATAAAAGTGTGGAAAGGTGGGGGGAGCAGAGGGTGAAGAGGTGGAAAGAAGCCACTTAAGCCTGCTAGGTCAGTTTAAAGTATAGGCTACCAGCAGCAAATTAAGTAAACTGAGAAAAGAAGAAAAGGATATAGTTAGCTCTGAACCAAGAGTAGGCTTCCTGGGTTGAAACAACCTGGGGGGAAGGGTTCCCAACTTTCATCCTGGCTCTGGGAGAAGAGTGGGGGTTGTTACCTGCTCCTGCAAACCCTGCCATTTTTCACTTTGAAACCTTTTCTTTTTTCTCCACTCCCCCAGGTCCAAGTCCCAGCTCCTGTCTCTAAAGGTGGTCTGTTAACTCTGCTTTTGACTCTAAACCCTGTTGTGCCAGATTATCTTTAACCACCGCTTACTAATTTACAACCCTTCAGCAGCCCTTGCTGAAACAGCACCAAACTTAAGTTTACTGGCAGCTTTCCATAAT